GGTAAAGGATTTTACATGATGCCCTCCCCATAATCATCTGGGAGCCCCAACTGTCTCTACCCCCAAAACCTGAATGAATCAAATCTCCCACCCCATTTTTATTTGCTGCAAGGGACAACATTAAGGTTACCATGATAGTGAACAAAGCAGGATTTTTAAAAAAGGTCAGCTTCTGCAAAGTTGTAAACATCTTTTTTTTTTAATTTCAGCCCAAATTCAATTGTCTGATTTGTACATGGCCATCATTTGTAGAACTTGTGGTTCAAGATTTCAGTGTCACCAAGAACCAGAAAGAACCAAATAAAAAATATTTTGTCTTACTTCCTAAATGTTGCCTGAAAGTGATGTTTCCAGGAGAGAGAATAAACATTGAATACTGGGGGAAAAAAATCAAGCACACAAAAGAACACAATCTTCTGTGAGAAGCAATAGGAAACAAAATGAGAAATAAAAAGGAAACAGAAACTAGTCTCAAATATTAGATATCCACATATAGATTATAAAACAGTCATACTTACTCTTTTAAGGAAAACCAAAAGCAAGCTTGAGAATATAGAGAATGGAAAATTACTTTAAAAAAAAAAGTAGGTTTAACAAATAATGAAACTTTTAGAAATAAAAAAATAAAATAAACCATTTCAATGTATATCTTCACCAACAGACAGGGAGCAGTTGATGAGATCAGTTAATTAGATCTGAAGGAATTATTCCTCTGATGCAGCAGAAAGAAATAGAGATAGAAAATAACAGAAAGACTTCAAGAGAACAGAGAGAGAGCTGCAAAGTATAACGTTCTCAGTTAAAGTTCCAGTAAGAGAGTGACATAAGCAATTTATGAAGATTTAATGGCTGAAGTCTTTCCAGAGTAGTGAACACTATCAATTAAAGCAGAAGAGTGAAGCCTAAGTAAAATAAAGTGACTAACACAAAAGATAGATAAAGAAAAATTCTAAAAAGCAGACAGGGTGGGAGTAGGGACAGATTGCTTCTAAACAAGTGACAGCTGACAGATCATATCTCAGAAGTGACAACGGAAACCAGAAAATCATGTATTGCTCTATTAAGACAAAATTGTGAGCAAAAATGTCTTTCAGGAACTCAGATGAAACAATACAATTTATACAAGTTTGCCAGAAGCAGACCTTCCCCAGAAGAAATATCTAGAAATATCAGGCAAAAGAAAGGTGTATAAAGAAATAAAAGAGAAAACACTTCAAATATGTAAGCAAGTCCCAGTGCATATTAACCACATAAAGGCAAAATAATTGTTGTGACTTTTTAGCTATTTTTGATGTGTCACAGGCAATTCAAGTCTTCCCTGTATCCTAAGAAAATGGTCTGAAAATTCATAAAATTCTTCTACATTCTGAAAAATGGTTTTCTGAATGTAATTTGAATGCATACAGACTTGATGCACTGAGATGATTACTGAATTTAGGGCCCTCCCTGGTGGCACAACAGGATAAAGCACAGCACTGTGAAGTTCTCCGAAGCCACTGCAGCATGAGTTCAATCCCCAACCAAGAAACTGACCCACCTGGCATAGCAGACCTCTCCTGACCTGCCCACTGCTACCCTCAGCAGTGTGTTTCAGTTCATCTGCCTGTTCTGTCCCCCACTCTGTCTCTGGCGAATACTCTCACCTCCTCCACACTTCTGGCTTATACCCCAGTTCATAAAAATAAATACATATTTTTTAAAAATTTAATTTAAGGTAAGAGACGGTGACTCAGATGCCTTGGGAGTGTTCAGGTTCCTGTGTGTAACTAATCCGTGAGTAAAGACAATTCTAGAAATGTGAGTAGGACCATATTATGTGGCAAAGTTTTAGTAGAGAAAAATTCTGGTGTGCATTACTTTCCCAGTGGGTTTAGACAAAATAAATTCACAAGTTAAGTAGGAAAAGTCTCTAGATAAAATTAGACAAAATTCAATGAACTAATCAGAAAACATAATGACTTCACTCATATGGGACATAAAGAAATAACGCAAATTAACAAAACAAGTAAAACTGAAACAAATCCTTAGACCCTGACAACAAAATGGTAATGATCAGAGGGGCAGGGGAAAGGGATAATGGGGAAAGGAATAATGGCGAAAGGGGGGCAGTTGGAAATGTTGAGTGGTCGCAAAATAAAAGTTCAGTAGTGGCGTGGTATGGTATATACTCCTGAAGCCTATACAATAGTGCAAACCAGTACTGGCAGTTCAAAAGAAAAGAAAAGTTAGAAATCTGATTTAAACATGTATCTAATTGTTGGAAGGAAACACTGAAACTCCTCATCTCTGTTATGAGGTAGGTAAATTGTGAGTGGCAATGGGTAAAAAGGAGATTATTGGTGCCAAGCATAATGCAATATAATTTATATAGATGTTGATAGATGGCTATATAACTGAGCACTAGATGCCATAAACCAACGTTACTTCGGTTAAAAAAAAAAAGTCCTGTTGCCAACAATAGATAAGCCAAAGCTTGAAATTTTGTGTTGATTCACAAGGAAATCCAAAACAAAAGTTTCCATGGCTTTTAGGAGAGAAACTGCCTCAATGTATCCGAGGAGAAAATTAATTCTCAGAAAACAAAAGCTATTAATACAAAGGCTGAAAAACAAGCTTATGTAATCTGGATGCTTGAAAATCTGAAAATGTTTGACTGCCCAGTGGAGAACAAAGCTCAGACCTGGTTGAGAACAAAGCCCAGACCTCTGTGACCACCAGGTGACCCCACAGACCCCACAGTTGAACACATCAGCTTGGAGCAAGCAGTGAGCATGGGTACAGGCTGTTCATGTGGGAGTCAGGTGTGGGAGGGGCTTTGCCTCATGAGGAGGCAGGAAATGAAAATATAACAGAACATGGCCTTCCTGTCCAGTCAATGATGAGAACTGCAAAACTGTGAAGTGGGCAAAAACTGACTGGGTCCTTGCATCATGGTCCTCAGAAATGCAAATTACAACCTGAAAATAAAGGGTGTCTTCTCCTTGACCTTGCTCCCTACACGCCTGGACAGAAAGTATTCCTGGAGCAAGAAGGTAGCACAGGATTCTTGCTACCACTGGACTCAGAAAGGGGAATGTTTTGTTTTTGGAAAACAAAAGCAGAAGGAAGAAGAGCAGTTGAGTTTGTTTATCCTGCAGAAGAAAGTTAAGAACTATAAACCAGAAACAATGCCTACAAAAATTGTGGGGGTTCTGAAATTTTCAATAATTGTTATTTCTATACATTTCATTTTTTCCCTGGTTACTATGACAACATGATGTACTCAGTAGCATATGACAATTATATTACACACATAGGTTCTATGGATCAAGACTTAAGGCTAGAAATAGCTTGTCCTTGCTTCACTGTGCTTGGGTCCTCACCTGAGGAAACTTTGAGCTGAAGATCATTTGAAGGTAGGTAGCAAGAATCGTCCAAAGCTGGACAGGTGCCAGTTGAGTATACCGATCACCTCCTTGTGCTTAGGTGAACTTCCTCCACAGCACGCTGGCCTCAGAGGATTTGAACGTTTTCCATGATGGCTCAGTATTCAAGACAAACACCTGGCTTATGAAATCTTGCACTCTCTTCTACTGCAGTCCATGGGTTCCAGCCCATCACACACCCACCTCTATCACACACTGAGTAAGAGCACCAAGACCATTTATAAGGGAGAATGGGGGAAGAAAGAGGTCCTTGTAGTCATCTTTGAGGAATGCAATCTCGTGCATTAACTTCTTTCACTGTAGTGACTAGTAATAAAACCTTTCAAGGACATTGTGTATGAGAACAAGCCTTTGGAGGAAACAGGGGAAATGGCTCTGGCATCACCGCTCCTAACCATCGAACCTGCAGAGGACAATCCAGACACCTTTGGACTGGGCTTGGACTACTAAGTGACCCTGAAAATGAATCTGAATAGGACCACATGCCTTCCTGTGGTAGCATGTGCTGTGGCAGGGTGGCGGCCTCTCATGGCACTCCCAACTACCTATGTGCTCATCCATAAAACCTGTGAGTAACTCTAGTGGTCTTGGTATCATGCCTAATATACTCAGAAGGTCCTGGCAAAGCGAAAATCCATCAGTAAGTGCACAGAGCTTGTTTGGGAGGAGAACAGCTGATGTGATCAGGAAAATTTTGAAATTAAAACTCAGGAAAACAGAAAATGAGAATATAAATGTAAAACAGAGACACTGTTGTATAGAAGACATAACACATGATCGTATGACTTCAGATAGACAAGTAAAGTCTGAGATGTCAAATTTATTGCTTGCTTACTCACTAAAAGGCAATAACGCTGGGCACCAATTGGTTGCATGCTCCCTCCCTCTTAACCTGTTTCTTCTGTTTCTCGTAACTATACTCTATTATCAGAATCCCTTTCTTTCATAGAAGCAAGATTCAGTTTCGGGGAAATAAATGGTTGTATACTTTTACTTTGTTAAGCAGCTCACACCCTCACCTACGCCTTCCTTGAACAAACACCAGGTACATTTCATAGACATCAGCTAGAAGATGGAGGAGGAATGTAGTTACTGAGATAAGGTGTAAACAGTACCAGGACACACCTATAATGACTTTTCTCTGCTCTCCAAGCTTGCCACAGATGGAGAGCACTCAAGGACCATCAGATAAGGTGGAAAGTCAAGGTTAGTTATCTCAGAATAAAAAGGTGAAAGAAAGGATAAGGACAACCCCTCAATAAGGTTCTACCCTGCCAAGCCTAACTGCTGGGTGCAGCACTTAATGATGCTCTTGCGTACCTCGTTCCCTTCTCCCAAGCTTCATGCAATATTCCCCTCCTCGTGCAAAGGAATATTTTGCTTTCAAAGAACAGGAACTACCATAATCACAAAAAAAAAATTGTAAAGCACAAACTACAAGTCGAAACATCATTCTCTACTATTGTAAATAGCAAATTTACCTTGAAACGAAGCTAACCCACCTGCGCCATCTTGTGGAAACTTTCCTACTTGCAGACCCTTTTCCCCAAGATCCCGACTTCAAGAGATCCATACCATGCATCTGTCCTAAGGTTCTGGTGATGTCCTGAATGGACAATCTCAGTTGCTGCAGGGCTGGAAGCAGAGAATCTTGGTTGGGCTGTACGATGGCATTCACTGCCTGAACAATTGCCTGGGAAGGAAATCCATTCAGTTAATTCATCAACATGGGGTGAGCTGCAAAGTGTGTGTCGCCTGGCAAGGGCCCCTTGCTGACTGCTGGAACATTTGCAGACCCACCCCCCCACCTCTCCTGAGAGCCTAAACTAGATTCTAGCCAGAATCTCTGGATGTATCCTAGAGAGAACTCTGTTTTGTTTTAATTTTTTTTTTCCCAGATCTTTCTACCCACTGCTTCTCTTTGACCGTACAGGCACTAACATTATCATTTTGTTTCTTATGGAATTTATCACACGTTATGATCATACTACATCTGCATCTTGAACTAGGCCAGCCTCACTCTTGCACTATCTCCCATAAGTTCAGAAAGGTGCTGTAAAGCCCCCAGCTTTCAAACTCCTCTATCAGGTAGCATTCCTGGTCCATCGCAGTGTCTAACTTCTCTGAACTATTGTTGAAAGACCAATATTGACTCATTCAATGGCCTCAGGACTCTGATGGGAAATGTCCACATTATTTCATTTTAGAAAGTGAAAGAAGTTTCTACAATAATTATGCCACAGCAACCATCTTACCAAGTGCACAGTAAATTCTCAAATTATATTTGTCAGGGAGAGTAGCGAGGAAGGATGTAAGTGTAACTTAAATCTTTGGATGAGTGTTGAATTCGTTAGTTAATCACCTATCTCCTCATCATCTGTTATCTTACACTGGACCTTTCTGTTACCTGCCTGATCCCTGATGAAATTCAAGTTTGCAGTCACCAGGGCTAATGAGTCAGGAATCTCAGTGATGGTTCATTTTCTTCTGAGTTTGTACACGGCAGTTTTCTTGACAGGAAGACATCTTTCAGTCTGTCAGTCTCTCCCTCTCTTTGTCTGCTTAATTCATATATGCCATTCAAGTTGCAACTTTAGCTGTCATTTCCACTGGGAAGCGTTAGCTGACTTTTTAAGTCAGAATATGGTTTTAAATGTCTTTTTGTAAAACACTGCATTTTTTTTTCTTATTACCCTATAAACTGGATAATGAGTTTTTGTGGGAATCAGGGCAATGTCTGTCTTATTCTCTTTCCTCCCTCCTTCCCATCAATATTCCATTGCCTAGAACAATGAACACTTGTCGAATGGACAAATGTCAAGTCCAAGTTTTAGAGGAGTTGAAGAAAGGGAGATAACTCTGTATTCTAGGACTTAGATCTCTTTCCTCAGAAACCAAGAAACACAGGCTCCATGCCCCTCCCCCTCCCACCCCTCATCTATATTGCTTAATCCCCTGCAGGGGAATAGACTATATGGGAAGGGAAGCTTAGCCTGATTTCTTATTTAGGAAAAACAAAATGCCATGAGTGAGAATTACCTTAATCCCAGGTATTGCCGCTTTCTCCACCAAAAGAGTCACCAGCACAAAGCCTCGTAGGCTTTCTCCACCAGGAAATGAGACAATGGTGTCCAAGTTACTTGGGAAGGAGATGAGCACATGATTAGAGAGCTTTAGTAACAGAGGGTACACACAACCCATAGGTTCCCTCAGTGTTAGGCAGCTGTAAATCCAAGGAGGAATCGGAAATAACTCTCATTTCCATAGCACCCTCAAGGATCTATCCTCAGAACATTCAGGAAAGATAATGGATGTATTCAAGCCCAAGTCCATCTAAACTGAAATTCTCGAAGTCTAGCATGATCCCCACAGTCCTAGGCCATCTTCCCCATCCTCCTACTCCCTCACCCCACCAAGGAATAGCTCATTAGCAAGTTGCAAGTAAGGTTGATTCTTCACAAAGCCAGCCACAGCCCATGAAAGTGCTCCTGTCAGGAGCTCAGGGTCTTAGCTATGGTGACCACAGGCAATGGCCCCTTTTCCAGATATAAGCTATGGCCCAGTGAAACCAAATAGCTTTTCCAATGTTAACATGTGACTAGCCATTGAGAATAGTTGGGAATAGTTTCATACTATTCTATTCAATGATGTGTTTGTGTGTGTGTGTGCGCACACACCAAACACCTGAAAATACACTGAGAGCTGGACACTGTTTCAGGGGGATTTTTCTTAAACGTCTGTTATACATATTTCAGTATCCCAGATGTACATCTAATGTAAAAATCTAAAACTAATCCTATCTATCACTGATAATCTTTAACATATTGAACTTGAGAGGAGATGAAAAATAAACAAAAGAAAAATAAGTTCGAATTCCATTGTCTCCACAGAATGGCACAATTGTAGGACAGAGTCTTCACCCCTCTCCCACCCCACTTCCTGGCCAATGGCTTTAAGCGGAACCACCTCACAGGTTGACGTTTGATGGTAGAATAGACTAACAGATTTCAAAAATCTCCTATAGCAGTAGCAATCACTACAGGCAATTTGAACTTCCCCCAAAGTTTTGTGAGACACGAGATTTTTCTCAGATTATTGACACTCGAAGAATCACAAAGAATTAGGGAAATTTTTTTCTTGCATATACATATATACAGATTGCAAGCTGTCATACAGAAAATTAACCCCCTAATGTTCCTCAAAGCAGAGTCAGCCATTGTCAACTCCTGGTCTGTTATGTCTATTTATATAGTTATATAGTCTTTCATGCATATTTATATAGTTCACATACTATACATACAATGAGTATGCTTCCTTTTTTGTGTCATTGTCAAATTTTAAAGTTAGTGTACATTCTTATGTGGGGGAAGAATTTATGAGAACTTACCTGATTTCCAGAGGTCTAGTCAAAAGTCAGTTATTGACCATCATGAAGAAAAAAAGAAAAGAACAAATCAATTTATAAGCCAGATGTGTTTTCTAGACTTGTAGACACACAGGGGCTTGCATGTAAACATATAACGCATGCGCACGCTTAGAGGCCACAGGGTGCATCCAGACTGTGGGTCCCTGAGCGCCACCCCACAGTGGGCAGACTCTGCTCCATCACAGCAGGGCATTCAGCCTGTAGCCATCCTCATAATTATCTTACTCCTTTTATAACTTTGTAACTACTACAAACTCACATTGTTGATGTATCTATTCTCTTCTACTCAGCTATTAGAAATTCTAAAGCCAACCCTCAGCCACGGTTTTTTCTAATTTTTAGAGCTTGCATCCATTTCTTTGAAATTTTAAAGGCTAACTGCTTGCCATTCTTGCACATTTGCTGTGCACTTCTCTGTCTTATAAATTAACCAGTTTGATTGTACTTTGCTACCTTTTTCTTT